TGGGCATAAAATAAAAGTTTGAAAAGTAAAATTAAAAAGTTAGAGTTAAAAAAACACTTAAAACCGTTTGCACTGTTTTAAAAAAAATCGATTTTTTCTTGGAAGTTTTTGGATAATTCTCATTTTTGAGCTATTCCTTGGTGATGATAAAAGCTTTTTTTGTTCAAAAAATTGATGAAAAAACAGTTCAATAAACCTGAGTTCAAACTATTCAATTTTTTTTTTCTCAAAAAGAAACTAAGGTTTTAAATCAATCCTAAACACGCCTATTGATAATGGTCATATCATCCAATATTAAATTTTCGATCTTAAATTATATATCAAATGAATTGAGATTTTGGGATGAATAGACCCGTCAACATTTTTTTTTTTTTTAAGAAAACTAATTCATCCAAGGTCTCGGACTCTCTATTTATTTTAGATCCCAAATTAAGAAAGCATAGAATTTTCCATAAATTATTGTCCCGTGATCAATATATGAAGCTCTTATCATATATTTTTAGAATAAGTTATGGTACTATNACAATATTTGAAAAATAGTTCATAGACCCACTCAACTCGACTGACCTAGTGGTATTATATGACTAATGTGAGTGAAGTACCAAGCATTTAGGATGATACACGCGGCGTAAAGTCATTCAATTATCCGGAAACTTTTTCAGTCACATGTTCTCTTAAAATGTTTTATTATTTCTTTGTCCCCCACCCTAATGTCAATTCACTTGCTCACCACACAACAGTACACTACAAAAGCATGTTGTTTCTCCAATGTCATTGGATTATTTATTTTTAGAGACGGAGATTCCTCTCGTATACTTCGATTAATCTATGATATATATATCATTTATTAAAAAAAATTTAAGAGGTCAAAATAGATTTAGATTGACACTTTTTAAAGGTAAAATTTTTTTTCCAATAAATAATCTTTGTAAGTAAGGTCTCGTAGGATCAACTCCTCCATAAAATATCTTAGCTACCTTCAATCACCCATTAATGATAAGTATTCATAAAATCTTAGAGTTACACACAAAAATCGAACTTAAAATATTTAAATTTATGATTGACTCTAAGCCTTTCCCCCTATTGAGATCTCCTGTCGGAATATTATTGGTCCATGACTTTGATGGAATTTTTTTTTAGTTTAACGATTAGTGGTGTTTGAATCAATTTATACATATTTTGATTAATCTTTTTTTCGATCCAGTTAAAAATAAATTATCCACTTAAGACTATAATATTAATGAGAAATAATTTTTTCAAAAGCTTGACATCTGACATCTCATTTTTATCGTTCATGGTATAGTACAAAATGCATTACGCCTTAAGGTCCACGTAAGAGGAAATCATAGTGTCATGTCCCATTCGAATCTCACCCCTGAATTATTGGTCCATTCGTAAGAACAGTGGACAAATAATGGAAACAAACAGGGAATTTGACGATGTACACAATAATTTTGGACAAGATTAACAATTGAGTGTGTAATAAAGTGTAATTAATAGACAATAAATAAAATAATTAATGACAGTAAAATAAATATGCAGTCAATGTATAAATATATAGTGGTTCAGTTCTAATGACTTATTCCATTCTAAAAAATGACAATTGTAGCTAAGGGGCTCTTATTGATGAATAAGGTAAACGGGAGAGAGAGTAATGATTAACTCCGAAAGAGATATAATAATTATGAGAGAGAAGTTATGTGTGTGTAGGAAGGTGTAGAAAAGTGTGGCGAGATGCAAAAATGTGTCATCTCATATAGAGAGGATTTATAATTTATAGACATAGTGAGGTGGTGACGTGAGTGTAAGGGTACTAATTTTTCGGGGAGGATAGTTACAAAAGATAAGTACACTAAAGGTAGTCTTGATTTTTGGGAGGGAGTATCCCGATAATTGCTCCTCATGTGCTCTAATTCTTTTTGGACTCCTTGGAACTTGGAGTAGGTCAGATTGGCAAATTGGTCTCGACCTGCCTTTTAGTTGATTTGGACTTACTGAATTTATTGGGTCTAACATGATCAGATTTGAGCTCATCATAATTTTTCATCCATATCAATCACATTATTTTTTGCTTTTCATGATGCAACGTTAACTGTTTTATAAAAGGGTAATACTTTTTAAATTTGAAAAATATAATCTAATTTATGGACAAAAAAATATATAATACTACATGGTTCAATAAAAAAATTTAACATTCTTTAAAAATTGGACTTGTTTGGAACTGATTTTTGTGGGCATAAAATAAAAGTTTGAAAAGTAAAATTAAAAAGTTAGAGTTAAAAAAACACTTAAAACCGTTTGCACTGTTTTAAAAAAAATCGATTTTTTCTTGGAAGTTTTTGGATAATTCTCATTTTTGAGCTATTCCTTGGTGATGATAAAAGCTTTTTTTGTTCAAAAAATTGATGAAAAAACAGTTCAATAAACCTGAGTTCAAACTATTCAATTTTTTTTTTCTCAAAAAGAAACTAAGGTTTTAAATCAATCCTAAACACGCCTATTGATAATGGTCATATCATCCAATATTAAATTTTCGATCTTAAATTATATATCAAATGAATTGAGATTTTGGGATGAATAGACCCGTCAACATTTTTTTTTTTTTTAAGAAAACTAATTCATCCAAGGTCTCGGACTCTCTATTTATTTTAGATCCCAAATTAAGAAAGCATAGAATTTTCCATAAATTATTGTCCCGTGATCAATATATGAAGCTCTTATCATATATTTTTAGAATAAGTTATGGTACTATTTTTTTTTTCATGTCTTATCACAATATATTATCTTTAATATTTAAGTCACATCTTACAAAAAAAAATTAAAATTAACCATTGAATATCGATATTTAAGATTGTCAAAATATAACATCACTCGTTAATACGACACAGACATACACGAAATTAGAAGATTTAAGTCTTTCTTAAATAAGTAAATTTAATACGGTACAATTAATAAATGAATTAAATATAAGTAAAATTAATCAAAAAAATATATAATACAACTCATTTAAATATCGATTATATATAACATAAATTAGATATGATACGATTTGTCAAATATAAATTAATAAATAAATTTATTATAAAAAAATATTTTTTAACATAAATTCAATAAAAATCCTGTATCACCGGAAACGATTGACAAATCTATCGGTACCGTAGAACGTGATGCTTTGATAATCACAAAGTATTAATATAAGAGGACTCAGTTGTAATATACAGGTGTAGGATTACACCTCTTCGGAATTTTATTATCACTCGTCTCCTTCCACGGCACTCTCCCTTTGTCTCTCTTCCCAAAAAGGATTCTCTTCTCTCTCTAAACTGGGAAAATGCCAACCTTTTTGTCCACTTGTCTTCGCCGGTCGTTGCTCTCTCGGTCAACTGAGTCTTGCTCACCACTTAATCCTACGCCCAGGGAAGCCCACCTTTGACTACAGGCTACTCTTTCCCTCTCTCCTAATCATATAAGAACACATCTTGTATCCATATATATACATGCACCACACTGTATCACCATACAATATCACTCTGATATTTTAAAACCTAATACAACAATAGACTGNTGTCCCATTCGAATCTCACCCCTGAATTATTGGTCCATTCGTAAGAACAGTGGACAAATAATGGAAACAAACAGGGAATTTGACGATGTACACAATAATTTTGGACAAGATTAACAATTGAGTGTGTAATAAAGTGTAATTAATAGACAATAAATAAAATAATTAATGACAGTAAAATAAATATGCAGTCAATGTATAAATATATAGTGGTTCAGTTCTAATGACTTATTCCATTCTAAAAAATGACAATTGTAGCTAAGGGGCTCTTATTGATGAATAAGGTAAACGGGAGAGAGAGTAATGATTAACTCCGAAAGAGATATAATAATTATGAGAGAGAAGTTATGTGTGTGTAGGAAGGTGTAGAAAAGTGTGGCGAGATGCAAAAATGTGTCATCTCATATAGAGAGGATTTATAATTTATAGACATAGTGAGGTGGTGACGTGAGTGTAAGGGTACTAATTTTTCGGGGAGGATAGTTACAAAAGATAAGTACACTAAAGGTAGTCTTGATTTTTGGGAGGGAGTATCCCGATAATTGCTCCTCATGTGCTCTAATTCTTTTTGGACTCCTTGGAACTTGGAGTAGGTCAGATTGGCAAATTGGTCTCGACCTGCCTTTTAGTTGATTTGGACTTACTGAATTTATTGGGTCTAACATGATCAGATTTGAGCCCATCATAATTTTTCATCCATATCAATCACATTATTTTTTGCTTTTCATGATGCAACGTTAACTGTTTTATAAAAGGGTAATACTTTTTAAATTTGAAAAATATAATCTAATTTATGGACAAAAAAATATATAATACTACATGGTTCAATAAAAAAATTTAACATTCTTTAAAAATTGGACTTGTTTGGAACTGATTTTTGTGGGCATAAAATAAAAGTTTGAAAAGTAAAATTAAAAAGTTAGAGTTAAAAAAACACTTAAAACCGTTTGCACTGTTTTAAAAAAAATCGATTTTTTCTTGGAAGTTTTTGGATAATTCTCATTTTTGAGCTATTCCTTGGTGATGATAAAAGCTTTTTTTGTTCAAAAAATTGATGAAAAAACAGTTCAATAAACCTGAGTTCAAACTATTCAATTTTTTTTTTCTCAAAAAGAAACTAAGGTTTTAAATCAATCCTAAACACGCCTATTGATAATGGTCATATCATCCAATATTAAATTTTCGATCTTAAATTATATATCAAATGAATTGAGATTTTGGGATGAATAGACCCGTCAACATTTTTTTTTTTTTTAAGAAAACTAATTCATCCAAGGTCTCGGACTCTCTATTTATTTTAGATCCCAAATTAAGAAAGCATAGAATTTTCCATAAATTATTGTCCCGTGATCAATATATGAAGCTCTTATCATATATTTTTAGAATAAGTTATGGTACTATTTTTTTTTTCATGTCTTATCACAATATATTATCTTTAATATTTAAGTCACATCTTACAAAAAAAAATTAAAATTAACCATTGAATATCGATATTTAAGATTGTCAAAATATAACATCACTCGTTAATACGACACAGACATACACGAAATTAGAAGATTTAAGTCTTTCTTAAATAAGTAAATTTAATACGGTACAATTAATAAATGAATTAAATATAAGTAAAATTAATCAAAAAAATATATAATACAACTCATTTAAATATCGATTATATATAACATAAATTAGATATGATACGATTTGTCAAATATAAATTAATAAATAAATTTATTATAAAAAAATATTTTTTAACATAAATTCAATAAAAATCCTGTATCACCGGAAACGATTGACAAATCTATCGGTACCGTAGAACGTGATGCTTTGATAATCACAAAGTATTAATATAAGAGGACTCAGTTGTAATATACAGGTGTAGGATTACACCTCTTCGGAATTTTATTATCACTCGTCTCCTTCCACGGCACTCTCCCTTTGTCTCTCTTCCCAAAAAGGGTTCTCTTCTCTCACTAAACTGGGAAAATGCCAACCTTTTTGTCCACTTGTCTTCGCCGGTCGTTGCTCTCTCGGTCAACTGAGTCTTGCTCACCACTTAATCCTACGCCCAGGGAAGCCCACCTTTGACTACAGGCTACTCTTTCCCTCTCTCCTAATCATATAAGAACACATCTTGTATCCATATATATACATGCACCACACTGTATCACCATACAATATCACTCTGATATTTTAAAACCTAATACAACAATAGACTGACATAGTCACACCCATTCACCAACAGAGACCAAAAAGCTCCACAAACAACGCAGGTTCTTCAAGAAGCATCAAATAAGGGTATGTCTGTGTTCCTCTCCCACTTATATTCAATGAGGTACGTCGTAGGAGGTGATTTCCTCCTCAATCCCATTCTCTTACGCGGGTTTTCTGGTTCTGTGCACCTAGTTTTGTTGCTTATTCTATTTATCTCATGGGTTTGCAAGAAAATTAGGATCAATAAGACTGAGGGCCAAAAACAGAGTGTTAGAATCACCAGGTTCTCGTATCACAAACGAACTATGTTTTTTTGTCTGGGTCTGTCACTGTTTAATCTTGTTCTGTGCTTATTGAGCCACTTCTATTGGTATAGAAATGGTTGGTCTGAGGAAAAGGTTGTGACCCTTTTAGATTTGGTAATCAAGACACTTGCTTGGTTAGTTCTCTCTGTTTTCTTGCACACCCAGTTCTTTAATTCAGGTGCATCAAAGTTCCCAGTTGCTTTAAGAGTTTGGTGGGGGTTTTTCTTCTCTATATCTTGTTATTCCCTTGCTGTGGACTTTGTTTATTACAAAAAGCACCGAGCTTTACCAGTTCAATTTTGGGTGTCTGACATAGTTTGTAGTACTTCTGGGTTGTTCTTCTGTTTTGTGGGGTTTTTAGGTAAGAAAGAAGGTGAAAATGCCCTTCTTCAAGAACCCCTTTTGAATGGTAGTGCTGGTAACGTTATAGAATCGAAAAAGTCCAGTGGGGGTAAAACTGTGACCCCTTATTCCAGTGCTAGTTTCTTGAGTGTCCTTACTTTCTCTTGGATGGGTACTTTGATTGCTGCCGGCTCCAAAAAAACTTTGGACCTCGAGGATGTTCCTCAGCTTGCCAGTATTGATAGTGTCAGGTCGGCTTTTCCAATTTTGAGAAATAAGGTAGAATCGGACTGTGAGAGTAGTAGTAAAGTGACGACATATGTGCTGGTGAAGGCTTTGATTTTCACGGTATGGAAGGAAATTCTATTATCAGCTTTTCTTGTGCTTGCTTACACATTGGCCTTGTATGTCGGCCCCTACCTCATTGATACTTTCGTTCAATACCTCAATGGTCATCGTGAATTCAAAAACGAAGGTTATTTTTTGGTTTCTACTTTCTTCATTGCAAAGTTGGTTGAGTGTCTGGCACAGAGACACCGGTTCTTTAAGGTCCAGCAGGCTGGATTCAGAGCCAGGGCTGCATTGGTTGCCATGATCTACAATAAGAGTTTGTCCCTTGCATGCCAATCAAAGCAAAGCCACACAAGTGGGGAGATAATCAATTTCATGACAGTTGATGCTGAGAGGATTGGTGACTTCAGTTGGTATATGCATGATCCCTGGATGCTGCTCCTACGAGTTGGTTTGGCTTTGGCGATCTTATACAAAAACCTTGGGCTTGCTTCACTTGCTACGTTTGTTGCTACTGTAATAGTGATGTTGGCAAATGTTCCTTTGGGGAAGTTGCAGGAGAAATTTCAGGAAAAACTAATGGCATCTAAAGATCAAAGGATGAAGTCGACGTCTGAAATTTTGAGGAACATGAGGATTCTAAAGCTTCAAGGTTGGGAGATGAAGTTTTTGTCTAAAATTGTCGAGCTCAGGAATACTGAGGCAGGATGGCTGAGAAGATACATGTACACTTCCGCGATGACCACTTTTGTTTTTTGGATTGCCCCTACATTTGTGTCTGTGGTCACTTTTGGTGCTTGTATTCTTTTGGGAATCCCACTCGAATCAGGGAAGATGTTGTCTGCACTTGCAACGTTTAGAATACTTCAGCAGCCTATTTATGATCTTCCCGATACAATTTCAATGATTGCTCAGACTAAAGTTTCCCTTGACCGAATTGCTTCATTTCTTCGTCTTCATGACCTGCAGCCGGATGCTATACAGAAGTTGCCGAGAGGTACATCTGACACGGCCATTGAGATAGTTGATGGGAATTTTGCCTGGGATGTGACTTCTCCTAATCCAACTCTCAAAGATATAAATCTCAGAGTGTCTCATGGCATGAGGGTTGCTGTTTGTGGTACCGTTGGTTCAGGCAAGTCAAGCTTAATCTCTTCTATCTTGGGAGAAATGCCCAAAATATCAGGAGCTATTATGCTAAGTGGAACAAAGGCCTACGTTGCTCAGTCACCCTGGATACAGAGTGGGAAGATTGAGGAGAATATACTTTTTGGTAAGGAAATGGACAGAGAGAGGTATGAGAAGGTTCTTGAAGCATGTGCCTTAAAGAAAGACCTGGAAATTCTCTCCTTCGGTGATCAGACAGTTATAGGTGAGAGAGGAATCAATTTGAGTGGTGGACAGAAGCAGAGAATACAGATTGCGCGTGCCCTGTACCAAGATGCTGATATCTATCTATTTGATGATCCATTTAGTGCAGTGGATGCTCATACAGGATCACATCTTTTCAAGGTAACTGCTCTTCACTCTCTGCTCCTAATTAGTCTACAGTTATATTTTTTCTGGGAAGCATTATTCGTATTTGCCTTTTCATTTTGCATTGTTTTCACTGGAATTGGAGAGTTGCACCCAACAGGCGTAGTATGAATAGCATTTCCCCTTTTTGCTCTGTTTGACAAAGATCATTCACATTGTCATGAAAAGGAATCATGGTTTCTATCTAATTATTACCACACTGATTTGGCCAAGTACTTGTAAAACAATTATTGCTGTATGCATATTATTGGATTGTTGTTTTCCTTGTAGAAGGTTAAAATTAAACTTATATAGCTGCAATTCCATCTCCTTATGTCCTGCTTTGTTTACTTTGCTCATATTCCACTCTTCTTTTGTATTTAAATAAGGTAAATTGATGAAGTATGATGTGATAATTGTTGTATGGCAGGAATGTTTACTGGGGCTGCTGGGTACGAAAACTGTAGTTTATGTTACTCATCAAGTGGAGTTCTTACCGTCTGCAGATCTTATCCTGGTGAGCTACTTCTTTGTTTCTTCATTGCTACTGTTGTTATTGTGGTTATGGACACAACTCACCCAATGTAATACTGTCATCAGGTCATGAAAAATGGGAGAATTACGCAAGCTGGAAAATATGACGACATTCTAAATTCAGGAAGCGACTTTATGGAACTTGTGGGTGCCCATAAGGAAGCTTTATTGGTGCTTGATTCTGTAGAAACACATTCAGGCTCGGGAAAATCAAATATTAACGAGGAAGTTGATGGTATTGGGGATGCTAAGAAGGTGCTCAAGGATGAGAAAACTGCAGTTGGTCAAAATGGCAAAGCAGATGATGTTGGGGGGCCAAAAGGTCAGCTTGTTCAAGAAGAAGAAAGAGAGAAAGGTAAAGTTGGTTTTTCAGTCTACTGGAAATATATCACTACCGCGTATGGAGGAGCACTTGTGCCCTTTATATTATTGGCACAAGTTTTCTTTCAGCTACTTCAAATTGGGAGCAATTACTGGATGGCATGGGCAACTCCGGTCTCAAGTAATGTACCGCCTCCTGTTGGAGGCTCGACTCTTCTAATTGTCTATGTAGCTTTGGCAATCGGAAGTTCTTTTTGCATCCTTTCCAGGGCCTTGCTTCTGGTGCCGGCCGGGTACAAGACTGCCACAATCCTGTTCAATAAAATGCATTTCTGCCTTTTGCGCGCCCCTATGTCTTTCTTTGATTCCACCCCTAGCGGACGGATACTGAACAGAGTAAGTGAAATTTGCATTTATTTATTTGCTTATACAGTTGTTATTATTGTTCTGTTTTATGTTTTCTACAACAGGAGTGCTCAATGATTTTACATACTTTTACAACTCCAGAATTTTACTGTGCCAAGCTATGTTCCTCTCACAGGCATCTACAGATCAAAGTGCAGTTGATTTGGACATTCCATTTCAAGTTGGGACTTTTGCCTTCTCAATAATACAACTCCTTGGAATTATTGCAGTGATGTCGCAGGTTGCTTGGCAGGTCTTCCTCATTTTTATTCCTGTCATTACAATTTGCATCTGGTTACAGGTAGACTTATAGTCCCTTCTCAGAATCTTATAAAGTAATTTCAAATTATTGGGTATCGTTTCGTTGTACCACCAGAATCTCAAACCTTGTGGGCACATGGATTTGCTATGTTCTTGTTGTTTTATTTAACCTATGCCTAAGTTGAGGACGTCTTTGTTAATGCATGATTGTAGCAGTTCCTTATGATCTTCTTCATTGCAGCAATATTACATACCAGCAGCACGAGAATTGGCACGGTTAATTGGAGTGTGCAAAGCTCCAGTTATACAGCATTTTGCTGAAACAATCTCAGGATCAACTACGATTAGAAGTTTTGATCAGGAATCTAGATTCCGGGACACAAATATGAAATTGATAGATGGGTATTCTCGACCAAAGTTTCACAGTTCTGGTGCAATGGAGTGGCTATGCATTCAGTTGGATATGTTGTCTTTAATTACATTCGCCTCATCCTTGGTTTTTTTGATCTCTGTTCCGGTGGGAGCAATTGATCCAAGTAAGTGATTCTTGTTAATCATCTATGACAAGCATCAATTGCTTCTGCAATTGTGAATGGTTTGAAGAATACATGACACTTTCTTTTCTCCCCTTCTGTATGTAAAGGTGTTGCGGGATTAGCAGTGACATATGGGCTTAATTTGAACATGATACAAGCTTGGGTCATACGGAATCTTTGTAATCTAGAGAATAAAATTATATCAGTTGAAAGGATACTTCAATACACTTCTCTTCCCAGTGAGCCTCCTCTTGTTATAGAATCTGCCAGGCCAGAGGCAGATGGTCACTGGCCGTCACATGGTAAAGTTGACATTTGTGATCTAAAGGTAATTTTGATTCTTTGTTGGAATTCCTCTATGCCAAATTAGTTCTCAAAGTAATATGTAGGGTCATTCCTGGGTTCTTTCTCCATAATTGATGTCTATATGCATTTTAATAATGCCAAGCATTGATATAGGTGCGATATGCCCCACACATGCCACTTGTGTTAAGAGGCCTCACGTGCACTTTCCCCGGAGGAAAGAAGACTGGCATTGTAGGAAGAACGGGCAGTGGTAAATCAACACTTATACAGACACTCTTCCGTATTGTTGAACCCGCTGGTGGACACATTTTTATAGATGATATCAACATCTCTTCGATCGGGCTGCATGATTTAAGATCTAGATTGAGCATAATTCCACAGGACCCAACCATGTTTGAGGGGACGATACGAAGCAACCTGGATGCGCTTGAAGAGCATACGGACGAACAGATTTGGGAGGTGGGCATGGTTTTATTTGACGTTTGTGCCCGTTTGGAACAAAAATGGGAAAAATGCAAATGTCAGGGATTGATTTAAAAATTTTTACGGCGGCGTAGTTAACTGTTTTTCGTTTGTTTAGGCTCTCGATAAGTGCCAGCTTGGAGAGGAGGTTAGGAAGAAGGAAGGCAAACTTGATTCAGCAGGTTTGCTTTATTTCCACTTTCACATAAACTTCAGAGATTTCTTTAACCCCTATAATCACTGGAATTCTTATTTCTTATTGTTCCTATGATTTTTTCAGTTAATGAGAATGGAGAGAATTGGAGTGTGGGTCAAAGACAGCTGGTCTGTCTTGGCCGTGTGCTACTGAAGAAAAGCACGGTTTTGGTGCTTGATGAGGCTACAGCATCAGTTGATACAGCAACTGATAATCTGATTCAGCAAACCTTGAGGCAACACTTCTTCGACTCCACAGTCATAACCATTGCACATAGAGTAACATCTGTGCTCGGCAGTGACATGGTCCTACTATTAGATCATGGTTAGATCACGTTCAGCCTTCAGTACATATTATTATCCTTGAGGCTTTGGAGTAAAATCATCTTTAGACTTTTTCATTTTTCCTCTGGTGCAGGATTAATCGAGGAATACGATACTCCAACAAAATTGCTGGAAAACAAGTCATCTTCATTTGCTAAGCTCGTAGCAGAGTACAGCGTGAGATCAAATTCTAGTTACGAGACTTCGAGAACTTTGGATGCCGGACCACACCATTAATGGCTGATGTTATGCGATGATGATGACCTTCAGGTTGTAGTTATTGTCTCAGGTACAATTTGCCCTAATGGATGGGGCATCTTCTATGATCCAAACGGTTTTCCTATTTGAGTGTATGTGATATATGGAAAGCCAAGTTATTCGTTGGCACATGTTCTACGCAAGATGCGTTATGATTTTGATAATGCAATGGAGTTCATGTATACTATTATAAATTCTAATGCATGTTAAGTTGTATTACTACGTAAGATGAATAATCAATAAAGAGTTGGTATTGAGTATTTTTATGTGGGTAGAGATGAGTTTAACATGTTTTAAGCGTTTGTTTGAGCATGTCTGTGGTAGAGACTAGAGAAGATACGTATATATAGTGGTTTTTCTTTTTCTTTTTTCTTTGTTGATTAATTTTCGATCTTGTTTTATGACTTTCAAGTGTACATAGAAAAACTAAACTAAACGGCACGCCACTACCACACATAGTGCAACTCATGAGTTTCATTTTCAAACAAAAATCTTAATGATAGTTTGAGTTAGAGTTGTTATAATTTTATGATATTAAAGATAGAAATTGAGAATTTTAATCTTTGTTGTATTGATGGTTGGTTATTCGCCATAGCATCCAGGTCTTGCAAATGGCTCGTGACCTCATGATGGGTGATGAACATCTTTTGATCGGTCTCATATTATTTTATTTTCATTGGGTTTGAGCACATGAGACGTTTTCGCGTAAGCCAATTTACACGGTAGCATGCATGCCACTAGCTTCCAAGGTGGCCGATAAGAAATTCTGTCTCTTTCAATATTTTATTATTTCTTTGTTCCAATCCCGATCTCAATTTACTTGCTTACGTCACCACACCACACATACAAACCAACGTTGCTTTCCCCAATGTCATTGGGACCCTCTTATATACTTTCTTTCAATTTCACTAAATTATTTATAAATTTACTTCATGTACACGGATTAATCTCTCACATGTATAATATAGATTTACACTGACATTTTTGAAGGTGAATAGATATTTTTTTTCCCTACCGAGTAATCTCTCTAAGTAAGGTCTCGTTTGATCAACTCCTACAAAAAAACATCTTAGTTATCTTCAATCGTCCATTAACAATAATAAGCATCCATAAAATTCTAGAGTTACACACAAGAATCGTATTCAAAATATTTAAATTTACGATTTACTCCAAGCCTTATCCCACTATTGGGATACCCTGCAGGTTGAAAATATCCTTGTGGTGGCCACACCGCTGGTCCGTGACCTTGATAGACTTTTTTTTTTGTTTTACGGTTAGTATTCGGATTAATTTATGCACATTTCAATTAATTTTTTTTTATATTATCCACGTTAGAATTAAGATAATTATGAAATATAAATTATTCATAGTCTAACTCCAAAATACTATTAAAATTTAAATTCAAAAAATTTAAATTTATCACTCATCCCTATTATCTCTTAAACTACAATGGCGTCTTCACGGACTTTCTGTGAACATCACATTCACCGCTCTTGGCCTCTTGTTTGCATAAACCATGACATCATGGTTCGCGGTTTAAATTTATTGATCGTTCCATAAGGGCAGTGGACAAATATCGGAAACAAACAAGGAATTGATTTTCATCCATTTACAATCACATTATTTTTTGTTTTTTATGATGCAATGTTCAGTCTTTTATAAAAGAGTAATATTTTTTAGATTTTTAAATTATAATCTAATTAATTGACATAAAAATGTATCATATGACATGGTTCATTGAAAAAATCTAACATTTATTAGATATTGAATTCGTTTGAAACTGACTTTTTTGAGTGTAAAATAGAAGTTTTGAAAGTGAAATGAAAAAATCATAGTTAAAAAAACACTTTGAACCGGTTGGAGTGTTTTCAAAAAAGCCAATTTTTTCTTGAAAGCTCTTGGATAAATCTCATATTTTAGTTTTTCTTTTGTGTTGATAAAAGTTTTTTTTGCCCAAAAAAAATTAATGGAAAAACCGTCCAATAAACTCGAGTTCAAATAGTTCAGACTTTTTTTTCTTTGAAACCAACAAATAAGCAAAGATTTTAAGCCAACTCTAAATAAGTTCATTATCGGTTGTCATATCATTATATTATTAAATTATCTTAAACTTCTTGATTTTAAACTTTTTCTTCAAATTTGTAATTTAGTCTTAATTCCTACTTGTATGTCATTGGTCAAGATTACATTATCACTAAATAACATGCATAATGAAACTCTATAATATACAATATGACAGATTTTAATAAATTCATTTGATAGTTTCAAATAAATTTATCAAACGGTCACCAATATATCTCTTAAAATTATTTACATTAAATTTTCCTCCCTCAAATTCATCACTTCTCACTTACCTCATTAGCATCATCACCGGTGGTTAATTTTGGGACTATATTGATTTCAATTTCTTTAATTAAAGTAAATTAAAGTAATTTTTTTTTTCAAATTAATCAATTGGTTTACGTTACACTGTGTCTTCAGGCATGAATTACCTCTAGTTACTTATAATCAAAACTAAAAAAATACAAAAAAATTAAGGTAAAATCTTGATATAAAATAATAGTTGATCTCAACAAAGTATGAGTAATGCTAGAGATTTTAAAATTTTAAGCAAATTCACTCGTTATAGGGTCTGTGACTCTATTAAATTTAGATCCCAAATAAAGAATGCATAGAGTTTTTTTTATAAATTAATCGACGTACGAAAAGATTGAATCGAACATCTTTGACCAATAAAAAAGAAAGAAAAAGAGATTTTTGGAGAGTTGTAGTTATTGTCCCAGGTACAATTTGCCCTAATGGATGGGGGCATCTTATGTGATCCAAACTGTTCTCCTATTTGAGTGTATGCGATATATGAAAAGCCAAGTTATACGTTGGTATATGTTCTACGCAAGATGCGTTATGATTTTTATAATGCAATGGAGTTCATGTATATTACTATAAATTCTAATGCATGTTAAGTTGTATTACTGCATAAGATGAACAATCAATAAAGAGTTGATATTGAGTATTATTATGTGGGTAGAGATAAGTTTGACTAGTTTTACGCACTTTTTTGAACATGTATTAGATAGAGACTAGAGAAGATATGTATGTATGATGATTTTTCTTTTTCTTTGTTGATTGATTTCCACATAANATATGTATATATGATGATTTTTCTTTTTCCTTGTTGATTGATTTCCACATAAAAAAAACAAAACGGCACGCCGCTACCGCACATAGTACAACTCATATGTTTCATTTTCAAACAAAAATGTTTAATGATAGTTTGAGTGAGAGTTGTTATAATTTTATGAAATTAAATATACAAATTGAGAAATTTAATCTTTGTTGTAGTGATGGCATATTCGTCATCGCATCCCGGGCTTGCAAATGGGTCGTGACCTCAAGATGAGTGATGAACATCTTTTAATCAGTCTCATATTATTATATTCTCATTAGGTTTAAGCATATGAGACTATAGCATGCATGCCCGCTAGATTCCAAGGTGGCCGATAAATAATTCTGTCTCTTTCAATATTTTATTATTTCTTTGTCACAACCCCAACCCCAACCCCAACCCCAATCTCAATTTAGTTGCTCACCACACCACACAAAACACCGCCGTTGGTTATCTAATGTCATTTGACTATTCTTTTTTAAACATGGAGATTCCCGCATATACTTTTTTACTTGTTTTTCACCTATCAATTTTATAGTATTATATGACTGAACTGCCTCTTCTCCTCAACGTTTTCAATTGGAACTAGCTACAGAGGGCATTTTTTCTGTGTTTTATTTACTTACCAAGAGTAATTCGTGTTTAAAAACACAATAAAACGTAAGTGAAAAATGATGAATTTAGGGGAGAAAAAATTCAATGTGAATGATTTTAAGAAGAATGTTGGTGATCGTTAGATGAGTTTATTTGAGATCGTCAAATGAACTAATTAAAGTCTACCATATTTTATATTATACATTTCACACAAATAAAAGTAATATTTTATAATTTTAAATCTTTTTACAAATTCTATATTTTACTCATTTTTGACAATATATTCCATATTTTTTTAATCAAAAGAGGCTCCAACAAATCATACCAATACTCTAAAAAATTAATTTTAATTTTCTAATTTTAAGAGATTTTGTATGAATTTTTTTTTGGGGTTATAATAGCTAACTTGTTTAACTCAATTAATTTTATTTTTCATAAATCATTATAGTGGACTCAATTAAGAATATCTAAAAAAATATATATATAACTAAAAAAAAAAAAATCAGGCTGGCCTAGACCGCTCCTCCCTCCTCCATTGTTAGAGAGAGAGAGAGAGAGTAAATAGTGAGAAAAGAACGGTAAAATTCAATATTAATGATTTGGAAAGAGATGTTAAGGCGTTTGATGAGTTTATTTGAGATCGTCGGATGAACTTATTGCAGTCTTTTCTGTTTTATATAATAGATAAATCCACGAAATATGATAGAATTGACTTAAAAAAAATTAATTTATATATATGTAATCAAAATCGAGTTAAAAATAATATAAACTAAAATCTAATTTATCAAAAATCATATCGCCAAAATATTTTTTATCAAAAAAAGATCTACAAATATCATTTATAAAATATTATTTTTTAATTAGTACAAGTTTTTACAAATTTATTAATTTATAAGAATATATTAGCGTTAAGTATTTTTAAGAGATAAAAAAATTAGTTTTAAACTTTTGATTCAAGATATGTGTAAAACATATTAGTCTGAGATAATTAATTAAATAAATAAAATTAAAATTAATTATATTCAATATAAATGTGTTAAGCAACGACCTAATTTTTTTCTATCTATTAAATTGATGAATTTTTTTAATCAAAATATTATCATTGTGTCTTATAAAAATTTAAAATGTTACACTACGCATATAATATTAATAGCAAATTTGACTCATTTAATTATTATGTCAAAGAAAATTATGTGTTCTAAGATTAGTCGTAATCGTTGATCAGTTAAAAGAGACATTAAGGAAAAAAAAATAATTTTTTAATTGTTAAATAAATAAATTTGAGAACATATGATATTCATGTTGAAATCTTCTTATTTTATGTTATGAAGAAGTTTGGAACTCTCGACAAGTTGACCCCACTTACCAACAGGCATTAGTACTACCTACTCTCCGGCATTTGGAATAAGATACTGATGTCTTTTTTCATCAAAGTCATTCAATTATCTAGACTTTTTCTATCACATTGTCTCTTTCAATGTTTTATTATTTCTTTGTCTCAACCCCAATCTCAGTTTACTTGCTCACCACACCACACCACACGAACAAACCAACGTTGCTTCCCCAACGTTTTTAGAGACGGAGATTCATTTCATATATTTTTTTTTCAATTTCACTAAATCATCTATAAATTTACTTCATTTATTAAGAAAATTTAAATGGCCAAAATAGATTTAAATCGACATTTTTGAAGGTAAAATTTTTTTTTTCCACCGAGTAATCTCTCTAAGTAAGGTCTTGCTGAATCAACTCTTACAAAAAAACATCTTAGTTATCTTCAATCGTCCATTAACAATAAGCATCCATAAAATTCTAGAGTTACGCACAAAAATCGTATTCAAAATATTTAAAGATACGATTTACTCCAAACCTTATTCCACTATTGAATTACCCTGCAGGTTGAAAATATCCTTGTGGTGGCCACACCACTGGTCCGTGACCTTGATAGACCTTTTTATCTTTTTTAAAGTTTAATGGTCAATGTTTGGATTAATTTATATATACCTCAATTAATTTCTTCTTAAATTATTCACATTAAAACTAAGATATTTATAAAATATAAATTTTTCATAGTCTGACTCTAAAAAATTATTAAAATTCAAGTTCAAGATATCTAAATTTACCACTCATCTTTATTATCTCTTAGTGTACGTTGGCGTCTTCACGGACTTGCTGTCTATGAACATCAAATTCACCGCTCTTGGCCTCTTGTTTGCTTAAACCATGGCATCATGGTTCGTGGTATAATACAAAATGCTTTACGCCTTAAGGACCGCATAAGAGAAAATGATACTGTCCTGTCCCGTTCGAATCTCACCACTAATTTTTTGATCGTTCCATAAGAACGGTGGACAAAAAATGGAAACAAACAAGGAATTGATTTTCATCCATTTACAATCACATTATTTTTTGTTTTTTATGATGCAATGTTCAATGTTTTAAAAAAGAGTAATATTTTTTAGATTTAAAAATTATAATTTAATTTATTGACATTAAAAATGTATCATATGACATGATTCATTAAAAAAATATAACATTTATTAGATATTAAATTCGTTTGAAACTGACTTTTTTGAGTGTAAAATAAAAATTTGAAAAGTGAAATAAAAAAGTTATAGTTAAAAAAATATTTTGAACTGTTTGGAGTGTTTCAGAAAAAGTCAAATTTCTATTTAAAAACCTTAAATAAACCCTATATTTCAGTTCTGATAAAAATTATTTTTGCCCAAAAAACTAATGAAAAAATCGCCCAATAATCTCGAGTTCAAACAGTTCAGGTTTTTTTTTCCTTCGAAACCAACAAATAAACTGAGATTTTAAGCTAACTCCAAATAAGTTTCATTATCTGTTGTCATATCATTAAAGTATCTTAAACTTCTTGATTTTAAACTTTTTCTTCAAATTTGTAATTTATTCTTAATTCTTACTTGTATTTCATTGGTCAAGAATATATTATCACTAAATAACATGTATAATGAAACTTTATCATAAAATATAATAGATTTTAATAAATTCATTCAACGATCTCAAAATAGACTTATCGAACGGTCACCGCTATCGGTGATTCAACGTAGATCAGCCATATTCATCTGATGGCTGTGATGCTTTGATAATCACAAAGTTATAAAATAAGAGGACTCAGTTGTAATATGTACGTGTAGGATTACACCTCTTTGGAATTTTTTTATCACTCGACTGCTTCTCAGCACTCTCTCTCTCTTTCTCTCACTAACCTGGGAAAACGCTTGTCTTCCCCGGTCGTTGATCTCTCCTTCCACCGAGTCTTGCTCACCACGTTATCCTATGCCCAAGGAAGCCCACCTTGACTCTCTCTCCTCGTTGGAGTACAGACTACTCTTCCCTCTCTCCTAATCATATAACAACACATCTTGCATGTATATATATACATGCATCACACCGCGTCACCACACGATATCACTCTCATATTTTAAAACCCAATACAACAGAAACCTGACATCCCCACACCCATCCACTAACAGAGACCAAAAAGCTCCACAAACAACGCTGGTTCTTCAAGAAGAATCAAATAAGGGTATGTCTGTGTTCCTCTCCCACTTATATTCAATGAGGTACGTCGTAGGAGTTGATTTCCTCCTCAATCCCATTTTCTTACGTGGGTTTTCTGGTTCTGTGCATCTAGTTGTGTTGCTCATTCTATTTATCTCATGGGTTTGCAAGAAAACTCGGATTAATAAGATTGAGGGCCCAAAACAGAGTGTTAGAATCACTAGGTTCTCGTATCACAAGCGAACTATGTTTTTTTGTCTGGGTCTGTCACTTTTTAATCTTGTTCTATGCTTATTTAGCCACTTCTATTGGTATAGAAATGGTTGGTCTGAGGAAAAGGTTGTGACCCTTCTAGATTTGGTAATCAAAACACTTACCTGGTTAGTTCTCTCTGTTTTCTTGCACACCCAGTTCTTTAATTCAGGTGCATCAAAGTTCCCAGTTGCTTTAAGAGTTTGGTGGGGGGTTTTCTTCTCTATCTCTTGTTATTCCCTTGCTGTGGACTTTGTTTATTACAAAAAGCACCGAGCTTTACCAGTCCAATTTTGGTTGTCTGACATAGTTTGTAGTATTTCTGGGTTGTTCTTCTGTTTTTTGGGGTTTTTAGGTAAGAATGAAGGTGGAAATGCCATTCTTCAAGAAGCCCTTTTGCATGGTAGTGCTAGTAATGGTATAGAGTCCAATAAGTCTGGCGGGGGTGAAACTGTGACCCCTTATTCCAGTGCTAGTTTCTTTTGTGTCCTTACTTTCTCTTGGATGGGTAATTTGATTGCTGCCGGCTCCAAAAAAACGTTGGACCTCGAGGATGTTCCTCAGCTTGCCAGTATTGATAGTGTCAGGTCGGCTTTTCCAATTTTGAGAAATAAGGTAGAATCGGATTGCGAGAGTAGTAGTAAAGTGACAACATTTGTGCTGGTGAAGGCTTTGATTTTCACGGTATGGAAGGAAGTTTTATTATCAGCTTTTCTTGCGCTTGCTTACACATTGGCTACTTATGTCGGCCCCTACCTCATTGATACTTTCGTTCAATACATTAATGGTCGTCGCGAATTCAAAAACGAAGGTTATCTTTTGGTTTCTACATTCTTCATTGCAAAGCTAGTTGAGTGTCTTGCACAGAGGCACTGGTTTTTTAAGTCCCAACAGGCTGGATTTAGAGCCAGGGCTGCATTGGTTGCCATGATCTACAATAAGGGTTTGACCCTTTCATGTCAATCAAAGCAGAGTCACACTAGTGGGGAGATCATCAATTTCATGACAGTTGATGCGGAGAGAATTGGTGACTTCGGTTGGTATATGCATGATCCTTGGATGGTGCTCTTACAAGTTGCTTTGGCAATGGCAATCTTATACAAAAATCTTGGGCTTGCTTCAATTGCTACATTTGTTGCTACTGTGCTAGTGATGTCGGCAAACTTTCCTTTGGGAAAGTTGCAGGAGAAATTTCAGGAAGAACTAATGGCATCTAAAGATCGAAGGATGAAGTCCACGTCCGAAATTTTGAGGAACATGAGGATTCTCAAGCTTCAGGGTTGGGAGATGAAGTTCTTGTCAAAAATTGTCGAGCTCAGGAACACGGAGGCAGGATGGTTGAGAAGATACGTGTACACTACCGCCATGACCTCTTTTGTTTTTTGGGTCGCCCCAACATTTGTGTCTGTGGCCACGTTTGGTGCTTGTATGCTTATGGGAATCCCACTGGAATCAGGGAAGATATTGTCTGCACTTGCAACATTTAGAATACTTCAAGAGCCTATTTATAATCTTCCTGATACAATTTCAATGATTGCTCAGACCAAAGTTTCCCTTGACCGAATTGCTTCATTCCTCCGTCTTCATGACCTGCAGCCGGATGTTATACAGGTGCTGCCGAGAGGTACATCTGACACAGCCATTGAGATAGTTGATGGGAATTTTACTTGGGATGTGTCTTCTCCTACTTCAACTCTCAAAGATATAAATCTCAGGGTGTCTCGTGGAATGAGGGTTGCTGTTTGCGGTACCGTTGGTTCAGGCAAGTCGAGCTTAATCTCTTCTATCTTGGGAGAAATGCCCAAAATATCTGGAGCTATTATGCTAAGTGGAACAAAGGCTTACGTTGCTCAGTCACCCTGGATACAGAGTGGGAAGATTGAGGAAAATATACTTTTTGGTAAGGAAATGGACAGAGAG